GGACTTTTTTTTTAAATGTTTGCCATTTGTATACACCTAAGAACATTATTAAAATGCCAAACCAAAGTAGCAAGAATACTGTGGGAGACCATATCAAAAGCTTTGCTAAAGTCAAGGAATAACACATCCACTGCTTTCCCCTCATCCACAGAGCCAGTTATCTCATCATAGAAGGCAATTAGGTTAGTCAGGCACGACTTCCCCTTCGTGAATCCATGCTGACTGTTCTTGATCACTTTCCTCTCCTCTAAGTGTTTCATAATTGATTCCTTGAGGACCTGCTCCATGATTTTTCCAGGGACTGAGGGGAGGCTGACTGGCCTGTAGTTCCCCGGATCCTCCTCCTTCCCTTTTTTAAAATGGGCACTACATATCCAGCTCAATTTCCCTGTCTTGACCTTAAAGGCTCTGCACAGATCCACCCTACGCCCCCATCTCCTCCCACTCACTACACGCCACCCAAGCTCTTCCGAGTGCGCTTATTGTTTCCCTCACACATTCAGGTATTTTTGTGACAACTTTGCTGCCTGTCACACTACCAATTAATGTTTGCCCATCTCTCTTCTCCTCCCATTCACTTCTGAGAGTTAAGCTACTCTGCAAGAAATCCCACTATAAGGACTGCTCTTCACTTTGAATTAGTTCTGTGCCTCTTTGTGTACTCCTATGATGTTAGACGTTAGCCCTTTTGATATGGTTTGCTGCTCTTTACATATGTGTTTGTGTGTTTTTGGTTTTTGCATATTGCACAGCTGCTTACACCAACAGCCTTTATATAAATAATCATTTGAATAATAAAATTGGTCCCAGTGGTCAGAGCTCCCAGGATATTTAAGTGCAGTTTAATAGTTTGTTGGATGGCTAGAGAGTAAATTTTGGCTCTTCAGATTGGGGTTTTGATTGTTCCAAGCTAACAGAAAATAGGATTCTACTAAGCATCATGCATATGGTACGAGTTTCAATGTTCTTTTGTTTTTTAAGGATTTTTAATGTTTTTTTTTCTTCTCCAGTTCTTTGTACATGTCTTCAACTACAGGATTGTCCCAAAGGGTGGCTACTTGACTGCACTATATTCTAGAAGGCTTTGTATAAATTCCACTAATTCCTTGCATTTGCAGATTAATAGGATGTTTCCATGCACACCTTTTTGTGAAATATGTATCTGCCAAATGCAATCCTCTGTCATGTCCATCCGCATCTCCGAAATAATAATTGCTCTTACATGGTGCCTTCAATCTAAGATGCTCTGAATTCTTTGAAAATGTTTTTCTTGATAACTGATACCTAAAGGGCATGATTTTTCCACTGCATTGTTTCTTGTGTAGTCATTAGCAGCTGTGCAGAATTGGTGTGAAAATGCAACCAAATCAGAATTCTCCACTCTCATAGGTGGTAACATTTCACACCCACTTTGCTCACATGTAAATGACAGCAGAAGGTGCAGTGAGAATCAGGCACAGAATCTACTTCCAGGATTTTACATAACTTTATATTTCCATTGTCAAAAGGACAAAACCTGGGGGCTTATCTTCCAAATAGGAAATCTGGCACCCATAAATCTTACTGTTAGAAAACTAGCAGTGACAAAGATCTATGTCCGTTTCATAGTCTCTCTCCTCTCAGCGCAGCGCAGTCACTGAAAGATTTAGATTTCCAATTGAATTCACTTCCATTGTCCCATCTGAATAGTTGTCTAAAGGTATTTTATCAGAGCAGAGAGAGGCAAGCTTGTCAACATCAAATCTGTAATGTGAGTAATCAATCCGTAATGTGAGTGGCTAGGCAAAGATGTCTTTTAGTTATTCCCTGTTTATGGCAAATGATCAAATGTAGAACATCACAAAGAAAACATCTGTACAATATTGCATTTACCTGACCTGCTCTTCTTTTCTTTTTCAAGGCAGATTTAGAAGGAACCTGACTGAAGAATAAGAGCTAGAAAACATAGTGTCCCTTTTTGTTTCATCTGTCTGCCTGTTCAGAAGTCTGCTCTGAATGGGTGGTCAGATGTAAGCTAACAACTTTTTTGATAGAATCCCTATGTCTTTTGTGCTCTCCTCCATCACTGTTGATTGCATGTCTTTAGCGTACACTGCAAATACGTCTTCACAGTAGTGTTTGCAACAGAATGTGCAATTTAGTGTTTTGTGTAGAAGCACCAACAACATTCCATTAGGAGATTCACTTGAAGAAACACGAATACAAGAACAAAATTTGAGTTCCTCTGTTGGGCCAGAGATGTCCTGCATGATCTTGTGGATGGATGCATTGTGTCATCTGTCAGGGTATTTATATCCTGCACTTACAGGTTGAAGATCTCAATGATCTTGTAGGATTTTTACATTTCCGGCTTATATGATCCTACTTTGATATTCTGTATCATTCATCCTCTGCTTTTGCTATCCATATAACATGATTGGCATATTATCGGCCCTCTGTAGTGGAGGTAGCATAGCAGAAGAGAAAAATGGTAATCATGCATACAGCTATAGGAAGGTGAGGTTTATTAAATGCAGGATAGACCTCAGGGATGCAGAAAGTTAACATACTTTTAAGGAGAAATGTTAAATGTATCTATGACTAAAACAGCAAGGAGTCTTGTGGCACCTTAAAGACTAACAGATTTATTTGGGCATAAGCTTTTGTGGGTAAAAAACCTCACTTCAGATGCATGGCGTGAAAGTTACAGATGCAGGCATTATATAATGACACATGAAGAGCGGGGAGTACCTCACAAGTGGAGAACCAGAGTTGATGGGACCAATTCAATCAGGATGGATGTAGTCCACTCCCAATAATTGATGAGGAGGTGTCAATTCCAGGAGCGGCAAAGCTGCTTTTGTAATGAGCCAGCCACTCCCAGTCCCTATTCAAGCCCAAATTAATGGTGATAAATTTTCAAATGAATTTTAGTTCTGCTGTTTCTCTTTGAAGTCTGTTTCTGAAGGTTGTTTTTTTTTTTTTGTTCAAGAATAGTTACTTTAAAATCTGTTACAGAATGTCCAGGGACCTCTCGCAGCGTGACCTCTCGTGGCTTGCCTTCACCTCGGCATCAGAATCAATTATTCTGAGGGGATGAAAAATCTCTGGGGGACATCAATTCTGCACATGCGCAGTAGTGCAGAATTCTCCCAGGAGTACAGAATGTATACATTTCCTGTGTTGACAAAAGGGGTTTTTCGGTTGATGTAGTTAATTCACTATGCTGAGAATTCTTCCATCGACCTGGATGCATTTACACCGGGGGTTAGGTCAGCCTAACTTTAATGCTCAGACTGCAAAATTTTTCACAGCCTTGAGCAACATAGCTAGGTTGATCTAATTTCTAGGTGTACAAGACCAGGTGTCAGTGACGATGGCTTGAAGCAGCACTATAACTCCTGGGGTCATCTTCCTGTGAGAACCCTCTGGACTCGGAAGCAAGTAATCGCTGTATTGCTTTGGGAAAGCTCAGTAAATCTCAGGTAGATTTGGATGAAGTGGCACGTAGCAGATCTACGTTATACACCAGCAGATATGTATTGCGGAGGCACTATATACAGCACTATGTGATATTTCTGGTACTAATGAAATTGTTTTTTATTTGTACCCTTTTCTAACAGAGCCCATGTGAAAACCTCTAGTTTTTATTCCTGTAGTTCAGGAATGAACGGCTGCCAAAAAGTGATGTATTCTTCTTCTTCTTTGTTCCAGCTGTTTGGAAGACATAAGAATTGTCTGACTCTTTAATGTCACATTTATTTCAAGAGTCCAGTATTTTTGTCCTTTGCTCTTGGTCCAGGTTTTAGAACTCTAGCCTGGAACTTGGCATACTTGGGTTCTGTTTCCTGCTCTGTCACAGACTATGGCCAGGTCTACACTACAAACTTACCTCATTCAGGGTGTGGAAAAATGGAGCGATGTAGTTATATTGACTGAACTCCTGGAGTAGACAGTGCTGTGTCGACAGGAAAGCTTCTCCTACCAACATAATTATGGCCTCTTGTGGAGGTGGATTAGATATGCCAATGGGCGAAGTTCTCCCATTGGAGTAGTAGTATCTTCACTGAAGTGCTACAGTGGTGCAGCTGCAGTGCTGTCTGTGTAAACAAGCTCTACATCTGTGACTTTGGGCAGGTCACTTAACGTCAGACTTCTTCAGTTCTCCATCTGTAAAATGCAATACAATTTTAGTACTTCCCTACCTCACAGGGGTGTTGTGAAGCTAAATACGTTAAAGATTGTGAGGCACTCAGATACTATATTAATAGGTACCATATAATTACCATCTAATAGGTCCCCAGCTGATCTGATATTTTGTGCATTGGTGGTAGAGAATTAGGTTTTCCTCCTGCAGTGCTGCCCTCTACTTGCAGCATTGTTTTAACTAGATCAGGGGTAGGCAACCTACGGCATGTGTGCCCAAGGCAGCACACGAGCTCATTTTCAGTAGCACTCATACTACCCGGGTCCTAGCCACAGGTCTGGGGGGCTCTGCATTTTAATTTAATTTTAAATGAGGCTTCTGAAACATTTTAAAAACCTTATTTACTTTAAATACAACAATAGTTTAGTTATATATATTATAGACTTATAGAAAGAGACCTTCTAAAAACGTTAGAATGTATTACTGGCACACAAAACCTTAAATTAGAGTGAATAAATGAAGACTCGGCACACCACTTCTGAAATGTTGCCGACCCCTGAACTAGATGGATCACACATTGGTCTTCAGACCACCAGTGGCCTGGATCAATACTGGTGATCTTCAGAATGAAACGCTTTGAGATGGGGTGTTTGGAGGGAAGGCGATTCTTCTCTTGCAAAATGGTCTGCAGAACGAGAGAGAGAATTCCTGTTCCAGGTATTGCTTACAGAAAACCAAAAAGTATCTAGAATCGCAGCACTTAAGAACTGTCTGAGATGAAATGAGGGACACGTCAGCTCTTTAAAACTACAAAGGAACCTTTTAGGTAGAATGTGATTATCCAATATGGATTTTGCCCTGGACAGCTGAGTTATAACATGCCTACTGTGCACAATGGTCACTGCCGTGAGATTTTTAACAACAAAATGGGTAAGGCATCAATTTTACATCTCATCTAAAAAATACTATTTCAAGGAGCATGGTGCTTCTCAATATCGCCTTGAATGTTTGCCACATGTAAGACCTTGTTACCCTTCAGGCGCCAACATTTTTATGTTAATGTCAATTAAATTTTAAAAGCATCTGAGTGTCCTTTTTACTGCACATGTAATGTCTTTGGTGAAAACGTGTTTAAAATACAATGGGAAAAATGAGAACCTGAATTGCGTTGCTTTAAGCTTAACAACAATATTATTGTAATTCTTGTGGCAGCACCTTACATGTGCTACATGCTGTACAAATGTACAGGATTACACAGTCCTCACTCCAATTATTTTATAATCTGTAAGGACAAAAAACAGTGGGGAGAAAGATACGCAGAGTTGTCAGGGTGGTGATATCCAACCATCTTGATAGTTCAGTTTTGTTTTTGTTTTTTAAGATAGTCAATTCAATATTTTATTTATACTATAAAAACTTAGGCCCAGATTCAATGGTTTCAATGGGCATTAAGCACCTAAATACCTTTTGAGGATCTGGGCCTTAGAAGCTTTTTGGTAAGGGGTTGAAGAGAGGGAGACAAGTAGTGGGGGGAAAAAGAGAGTGTGAGAAAGAGGGAAGGAAGGACCGTGCAGTGCAAAATGTAAAGCCAGGGTATTGAGGTTGAATATCAGAAGAGTCAAAGTGGTAGGAGAGGGACAGGGGGAAGTGGGATGACAACCAATGCTATGTTGCAGGAGGAGAAAAATTAGGGTTATCCAGAGTCTAGGTTTCACAGTTTAATGGATGATGATGATGATTGATGTCAGCGGCTGTGAAGACTCCTCTTGGTTGCTGATGTTCCTTGTGTGGCGTGGGAGACAGGAAGCTGCTAGGCCTGATGCTCTGGGTGGGTCCTTCTGGATCTGATGGTAAGGTGGTTTGGGACTGGAAGACCCTGATTTACCCTCTGCACCCTTAACAGTAGCTGGCATAAAGCTTATGCTCTAATAAATTAGTTAGTCTCTAAAGTGCCACAAGTACTCCTGTTCTTTTTGCGGATACAGACTAACACGGCTGCTACTCTGAAACCTGTCTCTATAAACATTAACTTTACTTGACATGTAATCTTTCATTTTCTAGTTCAGGCTATTTATTCTGTGAGTATAGTAACAGCTATTAACCAAATGGGTGTAGTCTAGAAGAAGTTATGTCATAAATGTGGGCTTTGCTGTTGGTTTACTATAATTTCCTGTTAGTAAACTGTGCCAGAGGTGAAGTTGTAGTATGTAAAAACGACCTTTTGAGTCAATGTGGATTTCCTATGTTTATATCACCATAGTGACATTTCCGTGGTTTGGAGAGAAATAACTGTAAAAGTTGCTGTTGCCCTTAAAAAAATAAAATAAATATATATATCTGTATCTATAGAACTATTTACTGAGGAACTGAACAGCCTAATGTCAAGGGTAATTAGATAAATCTGAAAAAAATGCACCATAAACTAGATTTTAGTTCAGCAAAATCATTTATATGAAGACAGCTTTTTCTGTCTGATGGTCTGGGAAGTTGTCACCAGAAAAGAAATGCATTCGTTATTCTTGCATCTGAGGTTTTCATATATTGGTTATAGTTTATTGTCTTAGCTGTAAGGCTATTCAACTGTTAGAGCGGTTTCATTGAGAGAGACTGTTGGCGTGCATGTGTCTCTCTCTGTCACAACAGTTGGATAGTTTTACAAGGGAATAATTATGGATTTGGCTGTGTTACTGAGGGGACAGATATGAAAGTAGCTTGACATGTTGGGTTGCACGCATGTGGTTTTCATAAAGAAGATAATCTGCTAGGGACCATTTCATTTGTAAATTTGAGCCTCATAATTCTTGTGGGAAAAGTGTCCATGCTCAAATGTGCTGTAACTATTGAAGAAAGCTAACGAACAATTGTAATTGAATGCACCATAACTGGCTGGATAAATACAGGAAGCAAATTTAGCACCTGGAGAGTAGAAATGTTCTAATCCTGTTTGGGACTTAAAGATCTCTTATCAAGAGGCAAACTCTGATTGCTTTGCTCAAGCTGCGGAGTGCCTTACTTCATGAGTAGTTCCACTGTTGTTAATGTCAATATAAATATTTGCTGTGGTAGGATTACTGGTAGAGGAAGGTACTACTCAACCTGAGCAGGCATATTTGAATCTGAGTTTTTAAATATTAATTTTTTAGTTATTGTTCATATAGCCTGTTACTGACGGCACAGAATACATTGTGTAATGCCTGTGTAACTGTTGCTACAGCACAGGAGGTAACAGAGACCATGTAATGGTGAGTGGTCAAGGTTTGATCACAAGCCCAGAATCCTTGTAATGGGAACAAATGCATAAGCTTATTTGGTGCTAAGTATTTTATTGTTTTCATTTTGAAACATCTTTGGATGGTTCAGCCTCCAAGATCCAGAAGAGTTTGCCCCAATGAATGGTGGAAAATCTTATTTATAGCATCAAAATAAATTTAAATCTTATCCGGTTTTGTCCTTCCTTCAAATTGCATCATAATGACTGGCATGTTAACTTGACTAGCAGTACAGTCTGCTCTGGGACCTGGTTTGCGAATGACCTTTCTACATGAGGGCTGCTTGGACGTGGGGATGGGGAACTGGGTGGTTTATTGAAGTGGTTTTCTGTCTAAGGAGAATGATTTATCAGCAGTCCTCTTGGGTGCCTCATGCCCAGGTGACTTCAGGGAAGCAGGAGTAGAGAGAGGGAATAGGATCATGTTCCCATTGAGGAAAGTGTCAAGGAACTATAGAGAGGTGAGTGAAAACCACAGGATGGAACTTGGTTGATCATTCCCTGAAGTGTACTATGTGTCATGGTTCAGTGAGAGAGAAAGAAACTAGTGATTAGTTTCCTGAACCATAAAGAGAGAATAAAATACGCTGTCATAATAATACGTAGAATAGAAATGAAATCACTGGTCTCTGAAGGAGAGAGAGATTACAGCGCATGGGTGTCACATCATATCGATGGCTTTTTTAGCCTCCATACTGCTAATAAAGTTGATTGCAGTGTGTTTAGTGGTGGGAACTATGTGAGATTTCCAAAGCCATTAGATACACTGGTATACATCAGTATATATTGGATCGCTGCAGAAGATTGTTGCAAGAACAGAAGGTTATAAAAAAGTGGCAAAGTGATCCATAATTTCTATTTTGTTATCACCTGGTCTTAGTGGAAATCTATAAAAACACCAGAACATGACCATTAGCTGTTACAAAGCTCCTTGTTAGTGCATACTACTCCTATGTGCAGAACCATGATTAATATGGGTCTGGAGGTTGTGAGGACCACACACAACCCTCCCCCCCACTTTATACCCCTTTCAGTTTTCAAGGATAATATATTTGTTTTTATTTTACAAATAACAGGTCAGATCTTCTGATGTAAATTGGTGCATAGGAAGTACACTGTTTTACATCAGATGAGGATCTCATGCGTGTTACAATGTGGTTTAAAAATTAAAAAAAAATGACTGGCAGAGCATTTGTGTGCAATTTTACAAAAATCAAACTTGTGTGCAGAGGAAGAAAATCTTTTAGGGAAGGAAACAAATGTCTGTCTGTATTTAGAAGTTTGTTTATCCACTAAGGAATGAAAAGTCTCTAAAATTATTAAATGACAATGTCCTTTCTAAACTCATGAATTTGATTAAAGTTAATACAGCTAGTCCTTCAAAAGCTATGATTGTGTAGGTAGAACTTTGCTTGCTTTCCATAGTCCTGTGTTTATGAGCCCTTACTCAAAAAAACCCCCAAACTCCTACTGATTTTGAATAAAAGCTTTAGGAGGGAGCCCACCTTGGAAATTCACTATCTAATAATCCCAGTCTTGAGACTGTAAAGCAGTAATACATTTTGGATTCTTCTCATTTGCCTTCTGGTTCTCAATCCTTCAGGGCAGTGGTCACATTTTCAAGCTTTTCTCTGGAACCACGAGTACTAGAAACTTAATGAAAAGTGAGATCCTCATGTAATCACAGGGCTCCAGGAGCTGGTATTTTAAGAAAAATAACAAATATTACAAGACTCGGGATAAAATAATGAAAGTTGGTAACACTGTGATAGTGGTAAGCTTTTTGATAGTTATTTGGCTATACCTGAAAAAAATGACGTAGATGTTGAAATTAATTTATGGGTCCAATGCATCTTAAACTCCATATGACTTTCTTCTAGCATAACTTGTTGGTTGATGAGTCTGGGCAAAATTGATATGCTTATTTATTTATTTTATTTTATTTTGTTCATTCTGAGGAAGACCCTCCTGAAACTTGCCAACACAAGGGTTAACGCAATAGGTGTTACATTAGGCTCTCTGGACCCCTTAAAACCAGACAGGGAGGAAAGAGAAGCTGTTTCTTTTAGGGGAAGTGGAATGTGCAAGAAGAGGTGACTTATGGTCCATTGGGTTGGGTGCTTGGTGAAAGAAGGCCCCACACAACTAGTTTGAGAAGGCCTTGTAATGGGTCCCTGAACTGCTG